CCGATTCGGGTTGTTAGGCATTCGAATGAATCAATGCTCATGGCCAAGTTCGTGTTGACAAGGACACCTCCGACCCCTCTTTTGTCGCATTTCCAAAGAACAGCTCTTCTCCAGTGTTGAAAATGGCGTGAAGTGATTAGTGCCTTCTTGTCTCGGTCAGACCAATAATGTCATACTTGATCTTTCACGCTTGTACCATCAGGTCCTCGATGGATGCATCCAATGCCAGAGTACGTGCATTTAAAGTACAGACAGTCATTTTTTGTCTTTCTTCATTTTGGCAGCCTAGTTTGGCCTTGAGATTTTATCAGCTTCTCCTTCCTCATCCTTCTTAACGCTGCTGTATTGGTGCCTCTTTCAGGGTCAGGGGAATGAGAGCCATTGCACTTACTGGTTTTGGCATATCGAATATGCCATGGATAGCTTGCCAGGCTCTGCCGTGTGGGCGAAACACTCTCAGTAGCTTGTCAGGCTCTCCGCGAGGGATAGAGGCCTTTAGGGCAGTCTCTAATCGTTCTTGTAGGTGTTCCCATGGTTCAAACCATATTTAACTCCTATCAAATATGGTGTGGCAATCCTGGACGATGGGTATTAAGTGTCTTAAGATGTGTCCGGAAAGCATCCTGGAACGTGGCGGCAGCTGGGTAGTGGAGGTAGTGGATGTAGTAGAGGTCTGCCAGTGAAGTATTTATCTGGTACCAGTAGGGTGGGTCTTCTGTGTGGAATCCCTGGGTCGCTGGCGGTTGGTGGAAGCAGACAGGGCAGGGTAGGGTGGGGTTCCTGGTTTTAATCCCTTGGTCACCTGTGGTTGGTGGGAGCAGGAAGAGGATCTTCTCCTACCATTTCTGTCCTTTGCCAACTACAAGACCAAGAAGACTGCTCTCCGACATCCTGATGGATCTATCACATCTTCTAGAAGGGCAATGGAGAAGATTATCCATGACTTCTATTCGAATCTCTTTGATAGCCACGTCCACCTGCCCACATACCAAATTCCTCAGGATGGATATGTCATTCCCAATGTTCACCCTTCCGAAATCCGACACGCCATTTTGTCGGTAAAGAAACGAACATCACCTGGCCCAGACAAGGTCACACCCGAAAACCTAAAGAATCTGCCATCAGTACTCATCAATACATTGGCTTGGCTCTTCACACTCTGCATGTCTGAATGCAAGGTTCCGTCCCAATGGAAAACCAGCAGGACTGTACTACTGTATAAGAAGGGAGACATCCACGACATTGGCAACTATTGCCCAATCTGCCTATTGTCTGTCATCTATAAACTGTTCACTCAAGTCATCCTGAATAGGATTGGCAGAACAGTAGATGAAGGACAACCATGCGAGCAAGCCGAGTTACGAAAAGGATTCAGCACCATCGACCATATCCACACGATAACCAAGCTCATTGAGGTTTTCTGGGAGTTCAAGATGCCGCTCTGTCTAACGTTCATTGATTCTGTTGAGACAAAAGCAGTCATCGAAGCCCTTGCCAATCAGGGCATTCAAACTCAATACATCAGTATCCTCCGTGAACTGTATTACGGATTCATTACCAGGATCTCACCATTCTACAAAAAAGTGATCATTGATGTCAAGAGAGGGGTTCGGCAGGGGGATACCATTTCAGTGAAACTCTTCAGTGCCACCCTCCAGAATGTCATGCAATGACTGGAATGGGAAGGAATGGGAGTGAAGATAGATGATCGGCAGCTATACCACCTCTGCTTTGCTGATGACATCGTTCTAATAACACCAAACATTAGCCAAGTGGCACAAATGTTGCCTGACCTCGACCTTGAGTGTGGAAAGGTTGGACTACAGCTGAATCTTGCGAAGACAATGTTTATGAGAAACAGTCTTATTCCTGACATTCCTTTCGCTCTCAATGGAATGAACATCTCCAAATGCAACAGTTATGTGTACCTAGGTCGAGAAGTCAACATGACAAATGACCTGGCACCCGAGCTGTGCAGGAGGAAGAGAGCGGCTTGGAATGCCTTCAAGAGCGTCAAAGAAATAGCTAAGAGGATGAAGAACCTCAGGCTCCAGGCACATCTCTTCGTTTCCACTGTTCTTCCTGCATTAACATATGCCTCAGAGACCTGGGCCCTACACAAACAGGATGAGAACACTATTCGGGTTTCCCAAAGAGGAATCAAAAGAGCTATGCTTGGAGTATCACGCTTCACTCAAATGAGAGAAAGAATTCGGAGTTCTGACCTCTGTTGATGGTCAAGAATCACGGGTACTGTCTTTTTTGCCAAGGTGTCGAAAATCAGATGGGCTGGACACATAATGAGATTTGGAAACGATCTCTGGACTAGAGCCGTTACCAACTGGATTCCACGGGACGTCCAAAGATTGCGTGGCCACCCACCTACGAGATGATCAGACTTCTTTGTCAAGACCCTGAATAATCGGTTTGAGGCTCTTCATGTTCCTAGAAAGAGCAGACACCATTGGGCTACACTAGCACGCAGAGTGATGAATGGAGACATTACTGGCATCCGCTTGAGCAAATCGATGAGTAACGGGACATCAAGTGATCAAAAACTGCAAACGTCTTAGCAAACTGGGAATAAAGACTTTTTTTTTTAATCTAGTGGAGGGCAGCCATCTGCTCCGTGAGTGAACATCATATTCATTGGCAAAGTGCTGAGAAATGTTTTGTCTTTTAAAGAATCTCCCTTATGATTCTTGTTAAACTGGCTTCAAGGCAATGAATTCCCTACGTTTTGGCCTTCCGTGAATCTTTGAACTATTCCTTCAAATTTAAATGATAATCTAGGTGGATAGGCAATTCCTGGTAAGGTGTTCATTTCTCTTTAAATCTGTATCCCTTCATGCCCTTCCGGCTCTGAGTTTCTAATTTGATAGATCTGTGCACTTTATCGACTTTCCTTTGTATGTAAATTCCTGAGGGTGGCGTGGGGTATGACTGGACCATATCCTGTGCTCAGAGCTTAGTTCTGACTCTGCACTCAGGGATCCCTCCTGAAAGGGCCAAGTGAACCATATGTGTTGCCAAGGATCAAACCCAGCTTGGCTGCTTGCAAGCCAAGCACCTGACTGTCCTCTCTCTCTAGTCCTTGGAAATTCCTGTTTGGATCTTGTGGCTTTCAGTATTCTGTCTCCATCTTTGTTACTCTGATTATAATGTGTCTTCGAGTTTTTCTCTTTGGGCTTACTTTTGCCCTCAAGTCCCTGTATGTCGACTCTGAGAAATTTTTGTTTTGTTCTTGAGCCACTCCCAGCAGTGCACAGGGCTTACTCCCTCTCTGTGCTCAGGGCTCACTCCTTGGGGAGGCAGGGCAACCCTATGGGGTGCTGGGAATGGAACCCAGCTGCCAGGTTGACCACCTGCCAGACCACCTACCCACAGTATTATCGTTTGAGTCCCAATTCTGGGAAAGGCTTCTCTGTGATTTCAACTAGCTGTTCTTCGTCAAATGTGCCTTTCTGTTCTTCAGGAACTCCCATATTCTTACCTTGTTGCTCTTGAACTCATCCCCCGGTTCTCTGATATGCTGCTCATTTCCTTTCTACCTATTCTCCACCTTCTGTCATTTTCTAGAGGTTTCCTCCACCTCGTCTTAGAGCTCCTCATTATTTTTCTCAGCTGCGGTTGTTCTGCTGCTCAGATCTATGGAGGTTTTTATATCACACCATATTCTTCATATCTTTGCTTACAGTTTTCTCATTTCTGCTCCCCTAATTTCTTATGCCTTCCTGACTACCTGTGGCGCCATGTCTTTGAGTTCACTAACTCAAAGAGCTTTCTATGCTACTTGCAGTCACTGAGCTTGGTGGGCTTCTGTGTATCTTCCCCTTGTGTTTGCTGTGTCCTGCTAGGCTGAGGGTGAAGCCTTATACGTATTCCCCCTGGGAGTCTCTGAGGGATTAGGCTAGGTGCTCTTCTCCCTTCCTGTCTGTCTTCCCGCAGTGACGGGAAGTACAACTGTGAGCTGGTTTAGAAAATGTGGAGGTTGGGGTTGGAGCCACAGCACAGCGGGTAGGGCGTTTGCCTTTACACGGCTGACCCGGGTTTGATTCCCAGCATCCCATATGGTACCCCCAGCCCCCAGCACTGCCAGGAGTAATTCTTGAGTGCAGAGCCAGGAGTAAGCCCTGTGCATCGCTGGGTGTGACCAAAAAGCAAAAAAAAAAAAAGAAAGAAAGAAAAGAAAGAAAGAAAGAAAGAAAGAAAGAAAGAAAGAAAGAAAGAAAGAAAGAAAGAAAGAAAAAGTGGAGGTGGTCTGCCAAGAAGATAGTAGTGGAGGCTGCCAGGACCCAGCTAGAAGGGATGGGAATCTGCTTCCAGTCCCCAAAAGGCCCCTGGACATCAGACTGGAGGTTAATCTCACCTCAGGAGCTGGAGGAACAAGCAGAGGTCAGGCTATATGAGATCCTGCGGAAATGGGAGAGGGCAGGCATGAAGACTGATATTTTATTTTCTGAGTGTATTCTATGTATGAATTATAGGTCCTTCATCACTTTAAACATGAGGTATAAAAGATAAGATAACTGCCAGACTAAACCATATAGATGGGAAAAATCAACATTCTTTTATTGTCTCTGAAAAACATGGAGCATTTTGATAGTTTTTCCTGCTCTCAGATACATTACGGAATCAAATCTTTATTAAAAACATATTATAAATACACCAGGTTATAAACTACATTATAAAGCCTAAGCTATAAGAGACAAAATGTTCTCATTCATTAAAAATATCATACATTGGGGCTGGAGCGATAGCACAGCAGAAAGGGCGTTTGCCTTGAACGCAGCCGACCAGGGTTTGATCCTCAGCATCCCATATGATCTCCTGAGCACCGCCAGGACTAACCCCTGAGCATGGCCGGGTGTAACCCGAAAAGAAAAAAATATATATATCATACATCAACAAATATTATACATCATGGTTCTTTTTATTTTCTTTATCATAAATATGAAGGACTAGAGAATGATATTTTAATTGTATCAGTAGTAAGTACATCTTCTCCTTTTAAACATAATAGTCAGAATATGAAAGCTAGTCTCCCAGTCTGATAAGGTGAAATGTCATTAGATAACTCTTAAGCCCTGCTCATTCATTCAGTTCAGTTGATTGGTCAAACACAGAATGTAAAACCTGGATGTTATCACACATGTTAGTGACAGGAACTTTGGACTGAGTTGAAATATTTTCTGGCTTCTCCGGTAAGGATCTGTAAGATTTCGCTTTGATTTCTTCATCAGGAAACATAGGTTCAGAGAGCACAGGCTCAGAAAAGGCTTTTCTAGGCTTTTCACTCTCTCTGTTTTGCCTTATGGACTCTTCTTCTTGGAATATTTTCTTTACTTTCACCAGCACGGCGTTGACACAAACTGTCTAATAAAAAATATTTTTTTGGTAAAGTTTCTTCTTAAGCCACAAAATTTATAGATTAAAAAAGACCAACAGAATGTTTACCATTTCATCTATGGACTTCAGCATTTCCTAATGAAGCACTTCCTTTCAGGACTACCCAGCACATGACAGGTTATCAAGTGAGAGCTTTTGTATTCTAAATATATCACCATAATCTACAAAGAAATCTGGAGTCTAGCACGCTTCAGTAAAGATATGTGTTACATTTGTTCTGATGCCTTGTTTTACATCTTTTGATTTGATCGAAATATTTTCTTTATTCCCCTAATTTAGTCAAATGAAGCATTTTATGAATTTTTCCTGAAATAAGTTAATATAGTAAAGTAGGCTTTTTTGGTTTATACTCCTCCCAAATTTATTCATAGCTATGTGTAGAGCATATATGTCTTAGTAAAATTTGAGTACACTAATAGACGAACCTGATGATTCATGACAAACTGATGATTTCTAAGCAAACATGACTTTTTTTTTCAAGAATGCCATTAAGGGCCAGAGAGATAGGACTGCAGATAGGGTGCTTGCTTTGTATGCACCTGACTCAGGTTCAGTACCCAGTACCACATATGGTGGCCTGAGCACTGGTGTGCCACCGCTCCCTGTCTCAAAAAGAAAAAAAATGCTATCCAGTGTCCTAAGCAGTACTAAAACAAAACAGAGAAAAAATAATAGGAAATTTGAAAATCACTAAGAACTGTATACTTTAAAGTTATTCTGAAAGTTTACTAAATATGAACATGATTGTAATACCAAATTCTTAAGGCAAGCAACAAGAATAATCCATGAAATATGAGAACACTGAAACTAATTTATTTTTCCAAAGTAATATGGAAAAATTATTATTTTCTCAAGGAAATATGATAGACTTATATGGGGTGCTGGGGATGGAACCCTGGCCAGCGGCATGCAAAGCAAGCAACCTACCTGCTGTACTATTGCTCTAGGTCTAATGAACACTTTTGAATGACAGTACTTGTGCTTCAAAAAATGTATTTGTATTCTCCAAGCCATACACCTGAATTATGGGATACTGAATTAACCATGATACAATGATACAATGATTGGAACAAAAGGATAGCTTAACAAAAACTAAACTAAAATGTACTATCCAAAATCCTCAGGTTGTAATAAGCTTTATAAAAACAAAAATGACATTAGATAAGCAAAGTTGGCTTCGGTGTGTTGACTTGGCTTGTCCTCAGAAAAATACATTCTGAGATAAAATTATCTTGTGCAGTAAGAGCATAGCACCATGATTTGTGGATTTACAATACATCCTATTACTGTAGCACTGTAGCACTGTCCTCCCGTTGTTCATCAAATTGCTCGAGCAGGCCCAGTAACATCTCCATTGTGAGACTTGTTGTTACTGTGTTTGGCATATCGAATACGTCACAGGTAGCTTGCCAGGCTTTGCCCTGCGGGCAAGATACTCTCGGTAGCTTGCCGGCTCTTCGAGAGGGGCAGAGGAATCGAACTCCGGTCGGCCGGGTCGGCCACTTGCAAGGCAAACGCCCTACCCACTGTGCTATCACATCCTATTACATAAAATAAATATATTTATTTCTACATTTAAGTATTTTAGTACTTACCAAGTAAATTAGCACCGCATATGAAACACACATTATACTAGTTAAGGCCGTCTTTGCTGGAAAGGAGATTATTTCCAACAAAGAACCTTTTCTGACCTGAAAAAAAACAGAAAACAGTTTTCTTACAGAAAAGTTTTTTTCTGTCAAAACGTAAGATTTTATAATGCTGTAAAATGAAAAATATTTCTAAATAAAATTATCTACCTTAGATCTGTTTGTTTTTTAATCTGAAACATCTACAAACGCAAAAAGAAAATTTGCGTTTTCAAAATTTAAATTACATTTTTGCATTTCCAAGTGTCCTCAGTAGGGGGTGCTGCCGTGCACAGGAGAAAAACAAGCTTTGAATTCGTTCATTATTCTTTACAAAATTATTCACCTCCTTCAATTAAGCAAACAGTAATCAGAATCCTGAGCATTTCCTGGAGATTAATGACCTGCTTGGAAATATTAATCATGAGACTGCTTAAAGCCAGCATTACCCGTAGATAATCATTAAGCTTTGGGAAATGCTGTGTTCATAGCACGATTTTTCAAAAGCTAGAGTTTTACATGAATAATCTATCTTTCAGAGGGCTCTAATATTTCTGGTAATTGAGGGGTTCTGACCTCAAGCACATTAATAAAATGGATTCTGTTTAAGAGAATCTTCCTTTTTTTTTTTTTTAAGGTAACAAAGGAGGCCTGAAACAAACCACCTTTGTTGCCTTAAGCAGGAAAGGAAATGAGGGCATTAAGAAAAACATTCCCTTCTCTTCCAGCAGGGAAGAAGCCCTTAGCTATGCTGCTTGCAAGTGAGCACCCTGATGGCTTCAGAGAGCGCTCCAAAGGAAGACTGTAGCTAATAAAACCACGTCTATGCACAATTAGCATGCACAAAAACTACAGTGTGCTGTGTTCACTGAAGAGTTAAAACAAAGGAAACCAAATCAATGATCACAACGTGGGATAGTATTGCATAGTATGTTGCAGTGTCTTCTAAGGTGCTTCCGCAGAAAGTATGGTAACCTTTTATTGAACATTGATTGGCACTGTGTCACTGTCCTGCTGTATGTACTTGTAGGATACTGCATTGTTGGGTGCTGTCACTAGAAAGAACAAATCTGTTCATCATAATTTCCTTTTCTCAGGAGAATTCTGAAACCAAAAAATACTAATGTAGCCTAATAAAGAGGGCCTGGGAAATGGGGAAGTGCCTCCTTAGTCCTTACTTTTGAGGCCATACCAACTCCGACATACAGGGACATGTAGGTCCAGTTGTGCCTGATTCTCTTCATAACTTAGCCTGGAAAATTTCCCAGAGCCCTGGCTTCTGGAAAGAGTTTCCAGGAAATGAAGCAGCTGTTGCTTTTTCCCTCTTGCTAGAGGAACAAAAATGATAGTGTTTGATTGCAGTGAATCTTACGATTAGACGACAAGGCAACAAACACGCAGAACAGATGTTAGAAAAAAAAAAAAGCAGATACACTCCAACAAAACTTCTCCTGGCAGAATGGGGGATTCATGACTCTGGGGGTGTATGAATGCACACTGGGAGGTCCATATTGAGGAACTGGCAGCCACATCTGATAAAAATAAGCTACGTCTGCACGAATGCAGAATTACCCTCTTTCCTTACATCTTTCTTTTTCAGATTTTCCCTTTCATGTAAAAGTCACTATGACAGATTCATTTTGAAGTAAATTATGTATTTGATATACTGACTTCTAAAAATAATTTTATATGTTGCCTTATTAAGAAAACATTAATAAATCCCTACTATTCCTGTAGCAAAGCATCTCTGTAGAAAGCGTATTTCCCCCAACGTTTACGTGGCCACTGGCAAGTCACCGTTTTTCAATTTTATAACTCACTTGCAATGCATGTTTTTCACATTATAAGCCAGTTTGTTTAACTTCTGGCTTGCTATGAACAGAACTAGTGTATGGTTGAAAACTAAGGCATATAAACAGAAATTTGATAAATTAGAGGATTTATTTCAATTATTCCTCCGTCCCTCTCAGAGAGCCCTGCAAGCTACCGAGAGTATCCCGCCTGCATGGCCAAGCCTGACAAGCTTCCTGTGATGTATTGGATATGCCAAAAACAGTAACAACAAGTCTCACAATGGAGACGGTACTGGGCCTGCTCGAGCTAATCAATGAGAAATGGGAGCACAGTGCTACAGTGCTATTTTGGTGCATTTTAAAAAATTAGCTTAATTTATTGTTACATTAATTCTATTTTATTCATCTATTTAAATTTAAAGAATCCTGTATTCAATATTTGGCTCATTTATTTTTTTTTAAACTTTGGTATCATTAATATATAATGATATAACATGAAGGGCCTCAAACCGATCGTTCATGATCTTGACGAAGAAGTCTGACCATCTCATTTCCTCGCAGGAGGAAGAGAGCGGCTTGGAACGCCTTCAAGAACGTCGAAGAAATAGCTAAGAGGACGGAGAACCTCCGGCTCCGGGCACATCTCTTTGATTCCACTGTTCTTCCTGCATTAACATATGCCTCAGAGACCTGGGCCGTACGCAAACAGGATAAGAATGCTATTCAGGTCTCCCAAAGAAGAATAGAAAGAGCTATGCTTGGAATATCACGTTTCACTCAAATGAGAGAAAGAATCCGGAGTTCCGACATCCGTCGACGATCAAAAATCAGGGACGCTGTCTTGTTTGCCAAGGCGTCAAAAATCAGATTGACTGGTCACATAATGAGATTTAAAGACGACCGTTGGACTAGAGCTGTTACTGACTGGATTCCACGGGATGTCAAAAGACCGCGTGGCCGCCCACCTACCAGATGGTCAGACTTCTTCGTCAAGATCATGAACGATCGGTTTGAGGCCCTTCATGTTCCCAGAGCGAACAGATGCCATTGGGCTACACTAGCACGTGACAGGGACAAATGGAGACGTTACTGGCGCCCGATCGAGCAAATCGACGACTAACGGGAAGTTAAGTGATTTAAGTGATTAAGATATTTGGAAAGTAAAAGATATTTTAGTTTTTAAACTTCCACTTATTTTGACTGCCGCACCTCATTAAAATACCTTTTTATCTTATTTTCATTAATAATTCGTTCACCAAAAAGGCAAAGTCTAATGAGTTTAGAAAATCAAGACCCGCTGAGAGATGAGTAACTGCAGAGGAGATAGAAATCTGCGACTCCAGAAGGATGCAGAATCACCTGCTCAGCCTAGCTCACGTCACTCAAGGTCAAGTCACTGATGGAAACCAGGGAGGGACAGGGGAAGTAGTTTCTTTGAATAGACCCAGAAACTGTGTAGGTACAGGGCCATGTCCTGTGCTTGGCAACCCTCCATACTCACGAGCAAAGGAAAGAGTGTCCAGAGTCAAGAGAGCTATTTGGCTCTGTTTGTTCCAGTGATAAATCTTGTGGGACTTGTTCGTGAATAAGCTCTCTGTCACGTGGGCCTGGAAACGCTTAGGGGCCCCAGACTCTTGGCCAGCCTGGAGAAGTATGTCTTTAAGAGTCTGGTGGCTCAACTTTCTAGAAATTGTCCCTTTTCCCTAAGCTCTAAACTTAGACCACCCAAAATAGCCTCACAGCAGGCCTGACAAGGACCTGATATATTACTTCCTGGTATCTGTAAGGTTTCCTGTGCGAACCCCAAGCCGGAGTCCAGCTGGAAAACTTAGAGGGGTGGGAGGCAAGGAGAAAATTCGTTTCAGTCCCAGACCTTGATCCTGAAATAAGGAACACAAGTTTGCAGCGCTCTGCCTAATGGCACAGGCGTTTCAAAGGTGAATCTTTTCTTCATTCTTGCCCATGTTTTGCCTCTAGCACTCCAACAGTACACATATAAAGTACAAACAGTCCTCTCTCAGGCCATTATAAGGAGGATCCTGTCACAGAAGAACTCTAGGTCCCCTGCTCTGCCTGCCAAAGTCAACAACTCTGTCTGGGGCTTGATGCATCTTGGCTGAAGTCAGCACGAAGCTGATTATCTAGGTCACTGCCGCCCGCCCGGGGCAGCTTAGAGGCTCACCATTCTGTAAATCCTGCTGCTGGGGATGCTAGAATGCCCAGCACAAACGTTTTTCATTCCTCAGGCCCCTTGTTTATAAAGCTTGCAATATATCACTGTAGTCCCAGCAGTGCTGAACTAGAATATAAGCAGCACTAGACTTAGGATAGGTGCAAAGAAGGTCTCTCGTCCCACCCTCTCTCCCCCTCTCTCGTCTTCCTCTCTCCCACTTTCCCTCTCTCCTTCTTCCCCTCTCTCCCTTTCTTTCCCTCCCACTCTCTCACTCCCTCACTCTTGTCCTTTCTCCCTCTCAACTCCCCACCTCTAATTTTCACCACACCTTCCATGGTGCTTAAGGGCCATTTTTTGGTTCTGTTCTCTTGGATCACGCCTGGCAGTACTTAGGGGACCATAAGAGATTGCCGTGGATTCTAACTAGATCAGCTTTATGCACGTGCCTTTAACCCCTGTACTCACTCTCTTCAGCCCAAGGACGACTCTTTTAATAAGATGGCCAATTGGAAGGGCCTGAACCCAGATATCCCTGTTCACAGCAAAATCATTGAAATCTACTTAGGTCCCTTACATCAGTTGGGTCTTCAATATACTTGTGCTTGGCACAATATCTCAATGCGTTAAGATATACAGGACATGCACTACAGCTAGGCATCCAATCAGAAAGGCTGGCTAGAATGTTAACTCCTGTGTACATAGCACATTCCCTAACTCCCAAGAGAAGCCCATTCTTTTACGCTTCGTTCAGATCACGTCAGAGAACTGAAACTGCCATAGTCCAGTGTGTCTAATGAATCTGCTTCTATCTATGTTTTTGAAATGGGTGATCATAGATACAGAATAGCTGAAGAATCTTGCTAGAAATATGTAATCTCCTCATCAGCCACCCTCCAGAACTCACGGCTGCTTCTCCCGGAAGGGAGCATAAAACGAGGCCCCCATATCCATGCCACTGGACTCTGCACCAGGCTGTTTTCTCTCAGGGTGCCCCAGATGGGGGGAGGGAGAGAGCACTTCCCTCCCCAAGGGACCCAGCCCCGGCAGCTGACCTCCACTACCCAACCACTGCCCTGCCATGCTCCAGGCCGCTTTCC